CACGATATACTGCCTTCAATATACAGTCCATCAGCAATGGCTACGAATGGTATACGCCGTCTGGCATCAGTGACAAAAGATTCGTTCGCCTTTGTAGGACAGTCTTTTTTTCTTTTTCTTCTTTCTAAAGGAACTCAGTTTTTCACATCCCTTTGATAGATCACAAAATACACTGAATGCTAGCATTAAGTGTTATGTTTTATTTCTGGGATCACGCATTTGATGGATTGAGCACAGTAGAGAGGACGAACACCGACTGCAACGGTCAATTGGTCCCTGTCCCCTTCCTTGTCCCCGATAGATATATAGTGAGCTTCGTGTCTTACATGATTATCATAAATCACAATCGAAAGCCACTTCAGAACTACAGTGACCCTTACAGGCACATATGCTGTCCAGCAGCTAAAGAGCAATACTATTGGACGTATCTAAACCATGCCTGCATCTTAGTTTCCACCAATCCATGACAGTTTCGTTGCACTCGCAAAATCTCCAACATGTCCTTCAAAAGTTAAATTCTTGTGGTACTGTGTTTACCTTAGCTTAAACAGTGTCATATCCAATAATCAGTCTGTAGGTCACCCATTGTATCTTGTTTTCCCTCTTCACTGCTGGTTTTTATTCCTGATTGCGCTTATCAAGGAAACATGGGGGATATTGTAGGGATTAAGAAACTGTAGTTCATTGTCGGGTTTTGTCGGCAATTACGGTCCCAGAACCAACTTCATTTTCTGCTAGTGGTTTCAGTAGCTTGAAAGAGAAACTTCATGTTACGTTCTGCTTAATTCCAATCCTACTCCTAAGAAGATCGATCCAAGTGACGGTGACTTGATGTGGCCAGTCCCGAGTTATGGAAAACTATTGGTTTTGGCCACAAAGACCCACAGATATTAGAAGGAAATGGGCGCGCTCAGGGTGCAGCAAGAAAATGACAAAACGTGAACTTTCACAACTGGGTGGTGTGACAAACCGGGCATGAAAAGGGCTTGACATTATCTCATCTTGTTGAGGAGGTCCAGACATACAGCAAAATTGATTCTGCTGTTCATGTACTATGAGCAATGATCTATGAACTACAAGACCGTTGAATTGTATAAACGAATGCAAACTACATGTTTAACCCTTTCAACGGAGTGACAACATCTCAGCTTACCTTCCACGCCTGTAATAGCTTCAATTGTTTCCAGGGGTTAATTCCATTACCTTTACCAAAAGATCAAATTATTTTACCTTCAGTACTCCTTACAGCGCGTGCGGCTATAATCTATTTTACCTGTCTGATTGAAAGGAGGAAACGAAATGAACTTCCATAATCCATACCTTGGCAATACCAAGCTAGATGACAGCCAGCAGGTAAGCTGCTTCATCTCTATTATTGGCCCGTTCCCTCACAGTTTTGAAGGGGACTCATCCCCAACCCTGATGATCCATCCAAAATGGTTTGTGGTGTTACTGAGGCTGAAAAGTACAAGCATTTCTACTGAGCTACTGGCCATCAGTTTGAGAATCAATTTCGGAAGTCTCAGTTTGTCACAAAACTCAAATTTTAGCATTCAGAATTGTGCGCCCTCACATTCCTAGAAGCAATGCATCCACAGGACGCTACTTTAATCTCCGGAGCTGTCCTGATATACTAGTAGCATTTTCAAATGATTTTTTATACTCGAGGCAGGTAGGGTTACCCGAAAACTACAACATTTGAAACACTCAGTAACAGTGTTATGCAGTCCTTTCACATAGTTGTCCACCATAAACTTGTGGACTGCAAGTCAACACGCTGTATGTGTTATTCATGATAATAACCGGGGATGTAGATTTTCAACTTGAGTAACAGTCAAATCACAGAATAGAGCAACTACCAAGATATGCACAAAGTTGACACAGGCAAGTGGTTTTCTTGTAACATTTGAGGCAATCTAGTTAATTCAGTTTCAAGGGTCCACTGTCATGTTGAGGAAGGGCGTGGGAGTCGCTTACCAATTTCCTGCAAATTGAAGAGGTTGTCAGATTACAATTAAAAGCGGAACCTTTAATTATAATTAACCAGGGACTCAACTGTATCAAAGTAATTTCTTTTCTAGTAGAATCATGCTATAGAATTAAAGCACACAAGTGTCAGTGGTACCTCAAACAGTTGATTTATATTATCTGCAGTTTTTGCAGATGTCTCAATAAAGAACATCCCATTCTTCTCCGCATATTCAATGCCATCCTTCAATTATTAAAAAGCAAAACACGTTAAAATATATTCAGCAATTAGGAATGATCTATTCCCAATAAATAACTATACTTGCTTGAGCGGGTACTTCTCGCTTCTCATGAAGATCAGCCTTGTTACCTACTAACGCCATGACTATATCAGGGCTCCCGTGTTTTTTTAGCTCCTGTTACACAATAGGATATAAGCCAAGAAAATAAACTTTCATATGAGCAGAGAGGATAAATTATTGAGCAAATGGTAAAGCTTTAAATGTACTTAACAAGTCTATGAAACATCTCTGGCTAAATTCAGAGAAAGAGAGAGAGGTATTTATATTCTGATAGAAGATAGAAAAGAGATTTTTAAATACAGAGCCGTCAAAATGCTAAATGAATAGTGAAAACAGCTTAGGTTGCATCAGCTACTATATTAAAACACTCATAATCATCCAACAGATTTTAGCGGCCTTAAGTTTATATTTTCAAAACAGACACTTAGTGCTGTGCTGAATCAAAACTGTTAATACTTTCTCAATTTTCCATGAAAACTTAGTTAGCATAAACCTTCTTTATTAAAGGGTTTAAGAACAATATAGCAACAAGCCAAATTCTTTTCACATCAAAATGTGAGGGCAAATTCATCACCCACATAAACATGTGTCTGCATGTGTGACAGGGAGAGAGAAGATGCAATTGTGATTCCAGCAGGCTACCTTAACCCAATACTGTGCTTTGTTGAATGTCTCTGGGCTTGTTATATCATACACAATAACTGCAACTGCAGCACCTCTGTAATATAGTGGTGCTAGTGCGGCATACCTGAATATGAAACAAAAATCAATAATCAATAAGAGCTTTGGTGTTTATGAAGGAGAAGGCGATGGGGAAGAAGGAACATGCCAGAAGAAAAATATACTATCAGATTAAATTTTCCAGTAAATTTTCAATATGGACTTGTTTGCTTGCATCTGCATGTGTGTGTGACCAACACAATATACACTTTGCCAAAAGTACCTTTCTTGTCCAGCAGTATCCCATATCTCAAATTTAATTGTTGTAGAATCCTGTAAAGCTATTGTTTGTGACAAAAATGAAGCTCCAATAGTTACCTGAAAATCCAAAGTCACAAATCTCAATAGATGTATCAAGAGCAGTTCCAGCATTCTAGTGCCAGTGGGTGCGGGTGTGGGTGCGGGAGAGAGAGATGGAAGGAGGTGGAGGTGGAGGTGGAGGAGAGGCTTAAATAACAAACAAGGTGAATGCATGTGAATGGCAAGGAATGATAGATTCCTTACCTTGGATGTTGGATCAAACTGGCCACGAACAAAGCGAAGAACAATACAGCTTTTACCAACACCAGAATCACCTAATAAAACCAGCTGTTCACAACATTGGAATGAAAGGTCAGTTGCATTCACTCTTAAAAATGCAAGCACGAAAGCAGCAACTCCAATATGCTTTATTGTTGTTTCAAACATATGGAAGAAATTTGTATTTGATTTTATACACAATCAAACGAAGAGTTGACTCAAATGCTCATCCATTGTGTATTGAATCATGTGGAGTATTTTGATGGTACACGATAAGTTCATGTAAAATTTATAGATGCATGATGCATGACATGCAGACATTATTTGACCTTTTAAAAATCTTTCTGAATCAGATTTGACACGTACCTAAAGACAGACTTAAATTTAAAGCAAACTGCAGTCTATAATCTCATCAGCAAACTGTACCCATGCTAGTCAATATATTAACACAGGAGTTAACAGAATGAATTCACGGATTCAAATTGAGAACTTCGAGGAATCTGAAAGTACAAATATCCTATTTCATCCTTCAACAACCTCAAAACAAGCAAAGTGGTGCCATTGTCTAACAAGATGCATGCTGGCACCAGCAGATAACAACAAAAATAACCGCTAGAATAACCTAGATAGCTTCTGGAAAAAGAAGATAACATGCAAACGTTGACATAAAATCAGATAATAGAGTGTGAAACAGTCCAGGAGCCAAATTTGCACATAAAACAGCTTAAAAATCATTGTTTAAATTGAAAGAGTATTCCACCTGTAATTGCTTGTTTGTGATTGTCTACATGAAGGCAAGGAAAAACTCTCCCAAAAGTACAAAACTTATTTCAAGAATTCAAACAGAGCACATAACACTACACCACACCAAAATATAAAACAAAGTGGTCCTAGAAACCACCATCAACTTCCCCAGCCCTGACCAAACAAAAAAAAAAGAACGCCCAACATGCTAAAGCAGCAGCAACACTACTTACCTTTTGCATCAGAAGGCCAATAAATCACAGCTTCAAACACTCAAACACAATAGCTCACTTTGAAAAAAAAAATATGGACATTTTCATCAACAGCATTGCTGCCAAAAAATCTCAAAACAGCATGGCATTAGAGAAATGCAGATCAACTAAGCGCCCATAAAATATAAAAAATCCAAACAGTATCAACTGCTAACCTGATCCCGTTTCAACACTTGCTTCCTTACCCACATAAGTTTTCTCAGTGTCCAGTCAAATCTCACATATAAAAAATAAAAATAAAAGACAGTCTATAGTGCAAGGTCCATAAACTTACCTTTACGCGTAGATTTTTGGCATCAGCCACTCCACCACTCTCTGCATTGTTAAGTCCACCCAACCTCCCAGTACTCCTATCTGCAAACATTTTCCCCAAGAGAAAACCCAAAATAGGCAAAATTATCGAATTAAATCAATTAATAGAACCACTCCACAAACAACCAAAACACAAACAACCAGCCACCACAGCTAGAAAACTAAAATTTCAACCTTTAAAGCAGATTTAGAAAAAAATCCTCAAAAAGCTCGCTAAATCAAATCATTTTATCAACAAGAAACACTTCTCAAACCCTAATTACCAAAAACTCATTTCCCCGATCACACACTAATCTCACAATTCACTTCCTCCTCATTAAACTAACTAAACTAAAGCAGTCAACCAACAACATTAGCATCAAAATCGCATTTTGATCCACTTAATTCACAATAGTGCCAAAATAAAACCATAATCCAAGAAAGTTAAAAATTAGGGCTTCCAAAGAAATTGAAAGACAAACTAGGGATTACCTGGAAGAGAAGAGGAGCAACCCATGACTTTCTTGTTGAAATACTGTTAATGTAATTAACACTGTATGTACAGAGAGTGTAATTAGGGTTTATCAAGATCGATTTTCTTTTTCTTTTTGTCCTCTGTTTTAGCTAATTGCGCTGTTGCTCTTCCATTTAATTATGTTGTCTTATTTGACTTGTACTGTTGGCGTCTGAAGCCACGTGTTTAACGTTTATATCTTGTGATTGGTATTAAACACTTTACCTGGAAATTTAATGCGAATACAATAATTCGGGTGTAAAATGTAAATGCGGTGCCTAAGGCACGGCCACGGTTTCAGTGGTGGTTTGATATTGCGACAGTTATTGGATTTTATTTTTTCAATCATAAAAAAAAAATTATTTGATTGGTTAAATAGTTTTTATTTTTTATATATAATATATTTCAAATTTTGATTTTATAAAAGTTTAAATAATATCATTATTATTTATGAAGACTTGTTTTTTATTTATTTTACATCTAAAAATTTATCTTATAGTAATTTTAACCAAATATTTTTTTTAATTTATTTTTTTAAAATCATATCTAAGACTTAAAAACTATAACAATTAAAACTATAATAATATCAAATACATTTATATTTTGTTCAAGAGTATGATCAACCCCGTGTTTAGTCACATTTTCATCAGATTTTTAGTTTTTATAATCATCAGGTTTTTAGTTTTTATAATCATAGACTATATCATATTATACAATGAAGGAAAGGGTGAAACAATTGGTAATAACAATATCAAATTGAGTAATTATTTTTATATTTTATGTGGTTAATGATATATAAAAAATAATAAAATTTATTTTACTTTTAATATTATTGTCAAATATATTTGAAAGAACAATTAATATGATCATGGACACAAATTGTTAAATTAATATGATCCGACTAAAATATCAAATTTTATATTTTATGAGAGTTAAATAAGTTAATCATATAGTACTGGTAGTACCTCTTATGCCCATAATTGCATCATATGCACATGCGACGGGATTTTAGTTTTCAGTACATTTGTAAGCACTTCTTTGCCGGACTTGCGTGCCTTGTCATTTGATCAACGTGATTGAGGTCACCGTTTTCAATTTCTTTGATCGCACTTCAGGACAAAACTCTTGCCTTATATTCTGTTTTTTTATTGTTATTTATTATTAATAAAAAAATTCAGATTATTTTATATATATCTTAATTAATTTTATAAATTTTAAAATTAATAATTATATAAAATTTTAGTGATCTAAAAAATTCAAATTTGAAATTATTGAAAAACAAACTCAAAACTTAACCAATTAAACTACTTTTCAAAAAAAAATATTATTTTTATTGATAAATGACCAAAATCAATTGTACCATGTAAAACTTGAAAAATTTATGGTATTTTCTTTGAAAATCTATTACAAAAATTTATGGTATTTTCTTTGAAAATTTATGTAGCTGCTGTTCTGAGTTTACATTTCACCTGGGATTATGGCTATAAACAGGTGGAACTTGAGATGAATTCGGAAATCATTGACGATGCTACTCGGCGTACTTCAAATTCTTTGAATAAAGATGATTTGTTTTGAGAACTCCAACCCCTTATTCATGACTGGGAAGCTTGGCTAGCTTCAACTGATTAGGGTTTCATCGGGGTGCATTTTCTTGATTCTCCTCCCGTAGAAATTTCCAAGAGTAAATTGTTTATCTAAAATTTATGTTGAGATAAACTTTGCTGGCCGGCAGAGGAAAGTAGGAGCTTATGTTGCCGAGGAAGTGAGGAGTGCTTGTCAAAAACTATAAACCTGAACTCTAATTACCAAATCAATGATTTTGGCATTCCAAAATCATTTGCCTAAACTTTACCAAATTCATTTTAGTGCATATGAACCTACACCTTTCTAAGTGACATGCGAGCTTAATTAGTCTTGATCATTTGTGAGTTTAATTCCCTAAATATATAAAATTTGAAATAAACTTAGCTAGACCATTACATGCTAGAAGTACTGGGCATAAAAAAGGACCAAAAACTAAGTTTCCTTGCAAACAAAATTAATTGGGACAGATTTTGACTAGACAAAAAAGACGTGACAGAATGATCACATGAGAACAAATCAGTATATAAGGTCTTTCGTGTTTCTTCCACATGCATTTGTTTGAACTAGCTAGTACGCTTAAAGGTCTTGAAACCTAATTTGTTTTATTGATCATGCACTTAGCTGCCATGCACTTCATGTATAAAATAAACAAAGATCATATGCAATTCAAAGTCACCAAGCTAACTAGCCATCAGCCATGGGCATACTTAAGCTACTGGTAAGAAAAATATTGGCATTCTAAAGTTGAGGGTTGTGGCAGAGAAACTACAAAGGAGTCTTTCACTGGGCTGGAAAGAAGCCTCCAAGTATAGAAAAATTGATGAATATCATGAGAAATGCTCTCCGTTGCCAAAAGATGTGAAGCTAGGGCACTTTGCTGTGATTGCAATCGAAAATGGTAATCCTAAGCGATTTGTTGTGCCTTTGAGCTACTTAAACCATCCAAGGTTCTTGGTGCTGTTGGAGGAAGCAGCAGAAGAGTTTGGTTTTGGTCATGAAGGTGCACTTAGCATTCCTTGCCAGTGGAGAGAGGTTGAATAGTTATTAGCCAGCGACAATTGATGAAGGCCATATATGTGTATCTTTCTAAAGATGATGATAGTTTTTCTCCCTGTTCTTTTCTCTATGCTCTTGATTTTATTATGATCTGTACGTAGAAATCATGATGTTTAATGATGCCTTGATCGGAAATCTTTGGTACTGTTTCTGCTTTGAATTAACTAGTGTTGACATGGTATTGATTTTTTTTCCTTCCTATTTTTCAGTATCAAAATCCCACAAGAACACTATATATCGAACTCAAATATTTATTGCATAAAGACATGTGATATAATTTAATTGTTAGTGCAAAACGCTTAAATTGAGCAACGTTAGACTTTGGTCTTTCTATAAGAAAAGAAATGGCTTCATCATGAAATTGTCCAAAAAACAATTCTGTTCCCATGATAATTTAGTATTTTAAATTGAAGTGTTTATGGTTGTAGTAATTAACTAGTATCTTATCTTACACTCTTTTTAATTAAAAAAAAAAAAAAAACAGTTTACGGGTTTTTTTCTTGGAAACTCAAGCCGCTTTCATTTTTTATCTCTTCAACGGTCAATCCCAACCGGAGCTTTCAAGCACAACTACAACTACTTCGATCTCCCGAGAGAATAATAGGTCTATGCGATGCTTCGAGGGCAAGTAGTCAAATCCGAACATTTTCAATGAAAGAAGCTTTGCTTCTATCAAGGTTCGGATTAAATAAATTTTTTTAAAATATATAAAAATATTAAGAGTATAAATTTTCTTGACAACATTTAATTAAATAAATAAATTAGGATCAACTCTTTATATAATTTGAATTGAGAATTAATCCAATTTAAATTAATTAATTTTATAATTTTAAATACAACCTTAATAACTGGTAAAATTATGATTTAGCTTTAAAAAAAAATTAAGATAGTAATTTTTATTAAAAAAATATTAAGACGATATCAGATTGAATTGACTCTGGTATGCCCATGACCCAAGTCATGGCCTCTATTGGGTATAATGATTTTTTTATAAACTATTTGTATTTAATTATATGATAAAAATAGATACTCACAAAATTAAGCATCAACTTTAAAATAGATATTTTATATGAGAAAGTGATAATTAGATAGATAGAAAAAAAAATAAAGCATACTCTATTTCCCAAATCAATTCAATATTAAAAAATAAATAAAAAAAATAAAGGAACAAAAACAAAAATAATATATTTGATTAATGAATAAACTCATCAAACCTATGAATTGGATAACTCAGGCTAGTACGTCAAACATATGAACTGGTTATGCACTCCACTGGTTTATAATATTTTTTTCAAAACTATTTTTTATTTAACTATATGATAAAAAAAAATAAACAATCACAAAATTAAACACCAGCTTAATATTGAGATTTTTTTATACAGTGATAATATCATAGACAGGAAAAAAAAATCAATTATAAAATTAAATTCTTAATTAACTCAATATTTAATGATAGAATTGGAAAGAAAGTCTATTAAAAAAAATTTAAACTCATTATACTCACGAACTAGGTCAACCAGTCAAATATGTAAACAGATCCATGGACTTTATAAAGTTCAATAAGAAGGTTTTTCTCTTTAAGTAATCTTTTTAACTATGTGAGAAAAAATAGATAATAAAAAAGTTAAATTTGATTGAAAAAAACACCTCATCAAACCCATAAATCAGGATAACCTGGGTTACCGTGATAAACCCACAAACAACGCTATCTATATAGAAAAGCAAAATAAAAAGAAATAAATTATAAAGCTAAATTATCAATCATTCTAATATCAAAACATTAAATCTACACAAATGAATTTGGTAAAAAAA